CCCAACCTCCCCGCCCGCTCCCCCACCCATTTTAGGCTGAACGTTGGTGGTGCGTGAAAGCGCTATTGTCCCCTGTACTTAATCTCCTACTGCTTCTCCCTCCCCCCTACTCCCGCTTTGCCGCCGCAAAATAACATTGCAGGTGGCACCGTTCAAGGTACGCAGGGACAGCGGGTCGTGGCGGAACGGGGGCAGTCGGTGGTCGCCCAGATGCGCTCCACCTCGCGAGGGAACTGCACGATCATCACCACCGTCAACGCCGCCGGCGCCGTGTTGGCCCCTACCATCATCTTCAAAGGGCAACGCTTCAACGGAGGTTGGGTCGCGGATCTCAACGGCCCGCCGGGTGCGTTCTACGACTGCACGGAGTCGTCCTTAATGTTTGGTGAGGTGTTCATCAAGTACATCAAGAACTTCCACAAGCAGCTCAGCGACCGCAACTTGCTCGACGGAAAACCCCATGTGCTCGTGCTGGATGGGCACGCGTCGCACGTCAGCTTGGACGTCATAAAGTTGGCCATCTCCCTCGACATCCACCTCGTCCAGCTGCCCTCCCACATGTCCCACATCACCCAGCCCTTGGTCGTCGCTGGCTTTGNAAACCCCATGTGCTCGTGCTGGATGGGCACGCGTCGCACGTCAGCTTGGACGTCATAAAGTTGGCCATCTCCCTCAACATCCACCTCGTCCAGCTGCCCTCCCACATGTCCCACATCACCCAGCCCTTGGACGTCGCTGGCTTCGGGTGCTTCAAGAAGGAGCTGGCGAAGGTGATCCAGGCCTTCCCGGCGAGGAACGGAGGGGCACTACCGCGGAAGCGGGACATGGCCGGCATGATCGGGCTAGCGTGGGGCCCGAGCTTTACGCCGGAAATCAACCAAGCTTCCTTCGCCGGGGCGGGCCTGTGGCCGGTGGACAGGGAGCGGGCACTCAGCCGGCTGCTGCGCCCGAAGAGGAAGGTGACNGCACTCAGCCGGCTGCTGCGCCCGAAGAGGAAGGTGACGGAAACCGACCTCCCTCCCCTGGAGGACGTCCCCGTCGCCGTGACCAACGAACGTCTGGAGGAGTTGATCGGTGACCGCGGCGTCCGCGCGCTCAGGGCAAAAGGCCACACCATCACGGGACTTCGCGTGAGCACGGTGGTCCTCGGCA